AAGTAAAATTTTGATAGAGCGACCAAACTAAATGAATTGTTGAACCAATGATAGAGATGTAGCCGTGCTATCAAAAATAGTTACGTGTTCATAACAGTCAGCCAATCACTGACAGCTTTTCGGGCTAAACCCACCTATCCCACACAAGATATTGGAAGACGCTAGTAAGTAGCCTCCAATCTTCTGTGAAAATATGCCGTCGTTTTGCTTAGAAACTGTTGGAACTGAATTCAATGATTAAAGCCATAAAATGTCTAGCAAATACAATTTTATGAAGACATTTCGCGAAAATTTCACGCAACATTGGCCGTACTACGTAAAATAGTCACGAGTTAGTAAATTCGTCAGTCAATTACTGCTCTTGACGCTAAACCTACCAATCACACACGTAAAATCGGCCACTATGTGCACTTAGTGTACTTAGGTACGTGAACACGTGAAGTACGTGTACTTCAAGTCGTCAACATGCGTACCAAGAAGTGACAATTAGCGTATCAGTGATACGTCGTGTAGTTAGCACGGGCTGGCTGTCTAGAGGCGCCAGCGAGAGTTCCTACGCTTGTGTGACAGCATCGATGAAGTAACGGGTTGATAACTACTAACTATGATGTGTCACAAATCAACAACTGGAGGTGCTAATGAGGCTTCTGCGTGCTTCGTAATTAACCGTCATTTTGTGTCAGCGAGAGAGTCTAGTAGTATTGTCAATATTAAAGTTTATATCGGTCATCGAGTACGTAAATTTGCTTTGTGCGTGAACGGAAACTAACAAAGGACCGATGAGAGCTTGTGGGAGAGGACGAGCGACAGCAGGTGGAGGGGACGAAGGAACAGGTGTATGGGGGAAAGGAGCAGGTGAAGGTGACAGAAGAACAGGCCGGTAAAGGGAAGAGATAAGTAGATAAAGGGGAGGGAGTAGGTGGAATGGACGAAGGAGCAGGTGGAAGAGACACGGGAGCAGGTGAAGGTGAGAGAGGGGCAAAAAAGGAGCAGATGGAGGGGATGGAGGAGCAGGTGGAGGAGCAGGTGGAGGGGATGGAGGAGCAGGTGGAGGGGACGGAGGAGCATGTGGAGAGGACGGAGGAGGGCGCAAGAGCAGGAGAGCAGCAGCGTCTCACAGTGGGCAGAGCAACAGGTGTGCGTGGTGGTGGTGTGTGTCGGTAGCGCTGCCTCCCGTGTCGGACTCTTGTGTAGCTTGAGAGCACGGCTTGAAGTTCTCAAATGAGAATTTTACCCCTCGATCTGATCACGCTGTTGGAGTTTTGCAGTTGACAATTATCATCGCAACGTCGTCCTTTGTGCTTTATGAAGTCTTCTTGGCATTAAATACTTTCTATAATTCTATCCGTACTAATTAAGTGGCACACTAGATTCAAATTGCTGTGAGATATTCAAAACTCTACGGTGAAAGCTCAAATGAATTCAGTTACTTTTTTCGTCAGTGCGTTTCATTCCAAATGAAAAATTGTCCTTGAATTTTCCACGATATACCTTTGGAAATTGATAAAATTATCATTCAACTGAAGGTATTAGAATATATTGATATATATTATTTAAATACAGAAAGAACAGCCTAATCAGCCAAATTTGCCAGCTAATGCTTTGAGGGATTTATGTGCATTCCGAAGAATAATACAAGAAGTTAATTGTTAATTATTAAGCCTTACCAAATGTTCCTAGTAACGCACTCCAGTTAGAATGTCAATACTCATCTTTCATATAAGTATAACATAGGTAGTATATATTCTGGTAAACAACATATTCATTATTCATGCATAAAATGGTCAGTTTTTAAATAGGTATAACATATTCAAGTGCAGAAAAGTAGGCAAAAATAATATACGAGCAATTATTACGTCGACTAATTTAGTTCTGATTTCAAAGTGACAACTGATTATTGAAAATCGATTGATTTTTCTAGTGATCAAAATTTTGCCTGATGTTAGTTTTTTTGCAAAAATTTATGTTAGTTATTGCGAAGTCGCACTGACAAAGTTCTTAAAATGTAACTCGAATTTTACTTTGGTGCAAAGGTCATTATTCACAAAGGTAAAATTTAAACTAAATTAATTATGTGCAACAAAATTTCAAATTTAAAATTTATTTTCTAGTATATTGTGAACTAAAATCTATAATTTTCAGTCAAAGCTTTTAATTAGCAATCATATTTCACATGGACAAAGTTTCAAATTCGTCATGCAATTTCAAAATGTAGCCAAATTGATTATGCAAGGAATTTTTCAGATTATTTTCTTCTCCAATGAATGAATCGCAGTAAAATTTTAAATTCGAAATTTGGTTGAGTAATTGTTGCACCTTTTATACCAGAGGTCGAAATTTATTAATGGTAGGTAGGGTTTGCTTGAACAAATCTGAAAATTCTAATCGCATAATTCACCGTGTGATTCAATCACCCACATACCTAAAAACGCGACAGCAAGGTAATACATGATTCACCATGCTTCCACCATCTACAGTATTTATATAAAAAGACAGAAAAGTTATGGTGGCAAGTATCCATTTGTAATAATTTTTCCCATTTGATACTGATGATTTTAATCCAGAGAAATTATTAGGTTAGATTCCGCGGATAAGCATTGCAAATATTCACTACTTAAATGGAAGCCACACGGGCAAGGAGTGTATAGTTAAGTGAAGTAATTTAAAGTTTATTCATATTTTGTCAGTGTTTTAATTTTTATGATTATTTTTTTGGTTAAATATATAGTAATAATTTTTACATAATTAGTCTTACGTCTTATTTTGTATATATTTTAGCGATCTAATAAGTATTGTCGTTATTTCATTTAGTTTTGGTTCTTTCTCATGAGAAGTATGTATCTCAATTTCGGAGCAAAAACGTGTTTAAAGAGCTGTCAATACATCATTCGAGTGCAAGCAAGACTCAGAGACACTTTATTATCCCGCACGTACAGTGAGCTATTGGCCATCTGAGAACTTGGGGCGTATCCCTAACAAATAGAACCACATGATTCACCATATTTTCAATCAGTCTGCTTAAATCACAAGTTCACAATGAATTTAAAACGACAGAAAAACCCCGAGCAAATTCACCATATCGATATTGAAAACGTTTCGGATTCCAGCTCCATCATCAGTTTGACAATCTAAAAACTGATGATGGAGCTTGACTTCGAAACGTTTTCAATATGGATATGGTGAATTTGCTTGGCGTTGTCTTTCCTTTTAAATTCCTTATGATTCACCATGGTTCAACCCGATTAATATCTAAAAATATGGCAACAAAGCTATCATCTACCGTGATCTGCACTGCCACCAGCATCAAACTATATTTATTCATTGGTATCATATAGTAATCTCAAGCAATGTTCTCACCTTCGCTCTCATTTGTTCGCCTTCAGTTTGTCTCGAAGTTTGTGTGAATTGCGCGGCCAGTCCTTGCTGATGGAGTGAAAAGGATGATCGTTTGTTTCCTGCTTATTTAAGTTCAGAATCCCGAGTTGTTGGGAACACGTTTCCTGCCGTTCATCTGGAAATAGGATCAGTTAGAAAACTTGTAAAATTTTATCAATTTAAATCGAGCAATTAATAATTGCCTTTTGATTAGTGGTCGATACCAAAATTGAAGAGGCATCCATGCAAAATATTTTATGAACGTGTGAAGGAACAATTTAATAATGATTGATGAAGACTTGTTTTCAATTGTTCAATACTAAGAATAATTCCTGCAATGAAATGGAACAATGCAATGAGATACATAATAAAGGATCGGGTGATGTTAAAGGAGCCTTTTGTTAATGAAATTTATTGCATTTTCAGTATATGTAAAATAGAGTCTTCATATGCCACATAAATATATTTCAAGACAAGAATTATCCCCAAGTTGTAATTAGTAATTATGAATATCAAGGGGATCTTCTCATAACAATGACCTTGATCTACGCATAATCAGTAGAACGCCGAGAGTTCGAAACAATTTCGAAACTTGGAATTATGCATTGCAGTCTTCACGACAATTGCAAAAATGGATGATGGCCTCCTACACCATCCGAGCTTCTCGTCTGAGGAATGTGTCACACGAATTAAATAAGTTGACTTTTAAGTTGTATTTACCGATTCACAGCACATAAAAATAATCACGATGGATCTGTTAATTTTATGCTTGCCGTTGAACATCAAATTACAATTTAAATTGGATGCGTTGACAAGTGTTGTTGCAAATCAACGTCCCGGTAGTGGTTTCCGTCCCCGGCTCTATTTGTCTATTCCGAATCGAAAACATGATAGCAATATTTTAAATTTTTCAACGGCATCTCTCTGAATGAAAAGACTCGTTTTAATTTACATTGCCATCCCCTTAACATTTGAAGGATGCTGAAGACATGAAGTTCTTCCGTCAGTTTGCTACACAATTAGATTTATCAAAGTCTTCCACAGAGGCACGTGTCATGAACGCCTCTTATGTTCTAAGAGCATTTGAACTGAATGAAAGACGCTCGAATGTTACTGAGGCATTTGCATGCTATTCATTCATTCTTACATCAATAAAACTGACTTGCTCGATTGATATGTGAACCCTTTAAATGAAATCACAATGAAGAATTTCAAACTAACAACACAAATATATTTCTAAATTTTCCCACACTATTTTGAAATCAACTGAGCATTTTATACTTAAATTTTATGTCATGTAAAATATTGAAACATTCATCATAAATTTGTTCGGCTATGTTCAATTTTTTATTTGCACATTGAGGAGCTTACTAAAAAAAATTTTTAATAAGAAACAGGATCACATTCAAATTGAATTTTGCCTTGCAATTTTCAACGAAAACCATTATTTTATAAATATTTTTTGTGCAATGTTTCCACATCAACATTTTTCTTTTTGGAGTCAGTTTTCGGATATAATTTAAGGCCAACCGCCACAATTCGTTATTTTTAAGACCAGACGCACCTCACAGAGAGGTCGTCTTTCCAGATTAAAAACAAACAAAGTGCCCGATCGCTGGCTTCGCTCGCACCGCTGAGTGGAAATGCACATATCTCTTTAATATTTCCATTTCCAGCTTGGCATGTACATTGACGTTGGCTACAGATAAACGATTCTATAAGCATCCGTCCACAGGTGTTGAATTTTAAAGCATTGTAATGACGATCGTTGATTATATAATATAAGGCAATCGTAACTCTGGATTTAACGGCATCCGTCCACGGGTGTTGAATTTCAAAGCATTTCAATGACGATTGTTGATTATATAATATAAGACAGTCGTAACTCTGGATTTAACGGCATCCGTCCACGGGTGTTGAATTTCAAAGCATTGTAATGACGATCGTTGGGTATAAGACAATCGCATCTCTGCCTTTAACGGTTGTTACTGAAAGCTTCGGAAAGCGTCTGTATTTGCTGTGCGATGAATGCCGTCTCAATCCGCATGCTTACAAAATCGTGCATGGTTTGTGGATTATGTTTGCACGAGAGCGAATGATATCTCAAATTGAATTAAACGATTTGTTCGAACACTAACAAACATTTGTGAATTAATTGTCTTGAACTTTACACTTTCATCATGAGAACATTTCCCTCAACTTGGGTCTTTCGCTTGTCACTGCAGGTTACGTAGATATCTTGAAAACTCAGGATTCAATTTACTCTAAATTCATTTTTGCCACTTTTTCTACCATGTTTGCGTTGAAATGTAAACCAAAAAAGCTTAAAATATGGTTTATTTTCAGCGTATCTGAGCATGAGGAACCAGAAATGAATTTTCCTTACACGCCCAATTTTTATATCCTGACATAAATATTGCCAATATTAAGGATATCGCTAGATTTAACAGTCATTCTTTAATCATCATAAGAGAGTAAATTAGCATATTTCAATAAAAATTCGTTAGAAATTTAAAAGCGAAGAAAACTTCACAAAAAAAAATCGGTTACAGAAACTTCACAGCTTGCGTCAAATTTGCAGTCAAAACTTCACTTATTGACTGAAATATTTTCGCGCAGCTGCAACTTCACCTTAATTGCCGCCCCACTGGAGTTCTCAGTAAATATTAACAGAGGATATAATTATATTACACCGAGAATACTAGGAAATGGCTGGGTAAATATTAGGATATTGCTGGGCAGATATTACCATACAGGCAAGATATCTCATTGGCGACCGATAAGTTGATCATCTGAAGTGCGTTCCCATGAAGAGATCTGTTTTCATTTCTTCCTTTCTCTGTCGCATCACAAAATTTATTCTTCAATACTTTCATAGAATTCAAAAGAAACAAAAACGCAAAGTACATTCACGATATCTTCATTTAAAATGTTTCGTAGACCAGCTCCATCATCAGTAGTGCACTTTCACTCGCGATTTTAGCAAACTAATGCTGTCTATATTCGATATTTTCTTTTGTAGAATTTTTATAATTATTTCAATTTCAAGGCTAGTGGTTTTGATAATATAACCATATAGGCTTCAAGTTATAGATCCCGTTAATAAAATCAATAGTAAGAAGATTGATTATTATCGGGCGATTGCGGCTAAATTCATCGTTTATAATTCACATTAATTAGAGAGCAAGTTTTATATCGTCTACACATCGTTAAACTTTATATAGTCAATTAAAAACGTAACAGACAAGTTCGTTTGTTTTGTAGAGTTTCCACACTTTATGTTACACGATTCCTGGCTGAGATGCTACATGAATTATGCCACAAGTCACGTTGTTGGCAAGAACACAACACGCATCCTGTTACGCTATTATATCCATTAAATTGGATGCTAACTCAATCTATTGGATATGCGAATCTTTTGTAACAGTAAAAACTGCTGGCCTTGATAAAACTCTTACTTGATTTCAAAAGCCAGCATAAGCTCACATTATTCCACGTTTCTTCACTATCGCTGACTCACTGATTCACCTCAATGTCAAAGTTCACATATAAAATGTTAGCAAAGGAGTTCAAAAACGGCGATGCTACTGAATTTTTGCTCAGTTTCCAGACTCCCTTTCTCAAAAATTACTGTTTGTTTCCGAAGTCCCAGCAAAATATCGTAACCCACATTAGAACGAGGTGCTCGGTGGCCAACACATCTCTCAACTTTTTGCGGTTGACAACCATGCATACAATTTTGTTTTGCTCTCAAAAATTATTTCGAATAAATGAGATTAAATGCTTTACTTCAACAAGTAAATATTTACTTTAAATCAAGTTTATTTAATGTGTCTTCAACTAATTAGGTACAATGCAATTCAAAGCCAAAATCAATCAATTATTTTATTTATTTATTCCAAGTACAATTATTTAGTAGTACAAGTATTTTTAGTACACGTACAATTATTTCAAGTACAATTATTTATTCCAAGAATTGTGAACCCAAAAAATTGATAATCGGGATTTTAGTTATGATATTCTCTAGGATTTTCCGAGCAGTGAGAATTCGACTTCAATTTAAGTTCTCCAAGTGCGTTGGCTCGAAAATCCAGCATGACAAGTAGAGTTTCCGTCTAAACTCAGCCCTGGCTATAACTTTCTGGGGCGGAAAGTTGCTTAACTTCCCTGAGGGGCCAGGAAATTGCGTTCTAGTTTATTGTTATCGAGCTCTATCAAAAATACGAAAAAGCTCTAGAAAATAATGGAACGGCCAAGCATAAAACATAGTGGAAACGTCAATATTAATTCGTTTTTTCGTTCACACTAGTCATAGTGTGACCTACATCTCTTGAAAGTCCCTTTTTTTGCCCACTCTGAATTCACCATCTTGGCTAGGCTTAGCATATAATTTCAAAATATTCACCGATTTCGAGCCCGGAATGTTACTTAATCACTATTTCATATGACTTGTGCCGTTTCCTACTGGTTTCATTTCTTTGACCTCTAAATCGACTATTTCACTGATTTAATCATAAATCGATTCACATACATGTATCGACTGCTCGAAATTATCAGCATTAACAGAATTTGAATTCGAAGCTATCAAGTTTGTGCACTCCCCGATAACAACCTCGTCAATACATTAAATTATCATAATGTAGTGAATATAATGTTATGATAAAATCCCTCTAAGATATTGACTATAAAATTTTATACTTTCTAATTTCAAATTTTGGTGCTGAATCTGTGAATCAGAATCTAAGACCACCACCACTCAAACTCCATGGACGAATCTTGCGATGAATTAGGAATAGATAAAGAAAATGTTAATTAACCATTTGTTGAAATAATGCATATCGGTATTGAGAAACTACAGGAAAACTACTCTTATTCAGAAATTATTGTTAGAACAAATTCAGTTATATTCTCCTTTAGCACATGGTTTAGGTGAAGAGTACGGTAACATTCTTAATATATTTCGATATCATATACTTTTTCAGGAATTGTTAGCAACGAACGATCATGAGCATATCACTTCTTTATTATTCGTAAATTATATATCAATCAATAAAATATTAATAATCAGTAAATAAAATAATAAAACTAACAAAACCAACCTTACAGACGGATATAACATTTAGTTGGTCAAAATTTAAATTTCCGTCTGTATTTTCGGGTGCGAGGGCCAAAACTAATCGCCACCCTGGACATGAGAAGATTCACGCTCCCTAACCTCTTCCTCACCGTCGAGGGAGAGGACGATGATGAGGCGGACGAAAATGTGAAGACGGAGGAAGAAGGCGTCTACCATCATGAAGGTAAGTCGTAATCTTTCATATGGAATGATTTCGTCCGCAGTGATAATGATGAGGAATTATGTAAGTCGGAGGAAGTAGGCGTCTACCATCATGAAGGTAAGTCATAATCTTTCATATGGAATGATTTCTTCCGCAATGATTATGAGGAATTTTATTGTAAGTCGGAGAAAGACGGCGTTTACCATCATGAAGGTAAGTCATAATCTTTTATATGGAATGATTTCTCCCGCAATGATTATGATGAGGAATGTTATTGTAAGATGGAGGAAGAAGGCGTCTATCATCATGAAGGTAAGTCATAATCTTTCATATGGAATGATTTCTTCCGCAATGATTATGATGAGGAATGTTATTGTAAATCGGAGGAAGAAGGTGGGGTGAAGGTAAGTCATAATCTTAATCATAATCATTATGAAGGTAAGTCATCATAATCTTTCAAATGGAATGTCTTTTTACCCATCGATGATGTGGGGGAGTGTTATTGTGACACCGAGAACAGAAGGGCCTTCCATCGTCCACTGCGGGTCCCATCATCAGTTTCTGCGTCATCACAGAAAATCATTCCTTCTATCGACCTGAATTTCTGAAACGAAATATTGAGACTTCCAGTAAATGAGTTCGTTTGTCTGTGAGCCCTTGAATGTATTCCAGCGCTCGAGCCCCTCAATCACTACCTAAAAAACATAACTGGTAGCGTCATAACAACTCAGTCATGTTTATAAAATAGTACCCTAAGCATGATGAAAATGATTCATAGGCAGGGCAGGGCAGGGCAGTGAAAGACAGGGTGGTCCAGTGGTGACAGGGCAGAGTACCAAAATTGGCGCAGAGAGGCGCGGGTTCGATCCCAGCTCTGTGCACCAGTTTCTAGTCAGAATCGGCGAGGATGCCGGGCGGTTAAGCAAAGAAATTTTGAAGCAGTGAGTTGCGAGTTCAAGCCTGCAACAAGCTGTGGATGTTCTGCAATGTTAAGAATCGGCGACAGGCCCACGGCCTAATAAACACTGAAACCGCTATATACCTCGCACAACTTCGTTCGGTAATTATTATGGATATGCTTTTTCGAAGCTTTTTTTTCAGTGGCATTTTTGACAAAGTAGTTTGGCTTGATAAACGTTTTCTTTTATAAACTTGCTGAAGTAGCATAAATTTCACCAAATCCAGAAGCCTTTGCAGGGCGATTCGCTGTGACATTCCAGGCCAGAGCTGCTATTATAAGAATGCTCGGCCACGACTGCCTTACTTATATAGCCTGATATTATCAATAAAAATCTATGTTCATCTTTGTACCTTATATTCACTGCAAGTGAACTTCATCTCAATGCGTTATTTTTACTTTCTCAAAATTTCCTCGTTTTTTAAATGATGCACGAAAATTAAGGAAAATTTCGTAACCGCGTAACTGAATAATCTCGTACCCGCATAACTGTATAATTTAGTACCCGAGTTGGGATAAATATGAGACTCACTGAACTAGTTGGAAAGATGTAACGCAAAAATATGCTGCGTATTTCGCACAAACTGGACCACAATTAAGGTGCTTATGAACTAAAATCTGTTGTAAATTAGCAGTGCGAAAATACTCAAGTATTGAGGGGCCAAAAAGATTTTTTGTAAACCAAATTTTCTTCCCCAGCAAAGACACGCACACTACAAAGGGGACTAATTGCAGTGCGAATTTTGAAGAGAGGCATCTAATATGCTTGGTGGAAACAGAAATCTAATAACGACGCGTTGGATTTTTAAACCTGCCATCATGGAACATGAATGTGCTGCTAAATTTGCGTGAACCATTTTCATAAAAACTTTTGTACGTTGTGTTTAGGCCATGCCGCTTTTCGGCCCAATTAACTGAATTAACTATCAAGTAATGCTATAAGGCGTTGTGGCCACTTGTCTAAACTTGATCCGATTCGCGAATTACTTTTCTATCTGACCAGTGTCCTATTGCCGAAAGAATTGGCTGAGCGAAAATAACGCAGAACTGCAAGCAAGTGAAAGAGACCACTTGGCACTTGTAGGAACGAATATTAAAACAATACTAATAGTTTTGTTTCAGGAGAATTATTAGAGGCACTGCTGTAGCCTAGGTACTTGCAAACAGTTCCTCCCAAATAAAAGTTTATGAGAGTATTGTACCTTAATGGCAATACAGGACAACATAGTTACATATAATATTTGTGCAAAACACGAGTCAGATAATGTGGCTGTAAAAAACTTACCGATTTATTGAGGAATGCTTGGACTACTGCCACTGGTAAGGTAGTAATCGTAACGAGACTACGTGCACTTAAAAGAACACAAAAGTTGCGTGACTGCCTTCACTTGAAAGAATACTAAATTAGGTTACTGCCTTCACTTGAAAGAAAACTGAAGAAGCGTGACTGCCTTCACTTGAAAGAACGCTGAAGAAGCGTGACTGCCTTTACTTGCAAGAACTAACTATACTTATGCCGAGGTAGCGATAGTTGCGTCTGAAATCGTGTATCGCGGGCACAGAAAAACACTTAATTTTTCTTTCGCTTCGTTTGCTGAACTTTCAATAAGCTTCCATTTATTTGGCTGAAAACACATTTCAATTACGAAAAGATTTAATGATAGTCACTACTCAGTACTCACTGTCCTACAATTGAAATTTCAATTCTCAGACACGCCTCGCTCTTCGCCGAGAGAGGTCAAAGAAGTGGACTTGGCCGATGGTTCTTCTCCATCTTCTCCACGCACGCCGGCGTCGCCCAGACGCATCGCTACGGCTAACCACTGTCCTGTCCACTGTCCCCATAAAACTAAACTTGTTCAGGTAATTTCACGATTATTTGACGATTTAGGCTCCTAAATGTTGGTATCTTAACGCTTTTCTCATGAAGTTGTAATTTCTTACTCAAACGTCGTGGTGACTGCAGTAATAATTATTAACTGTACATCTGTAAAATAATTAACTAGCCTTTTCAGAAATCTCAGTAACAATTCATTTGTCTTTTGCTTGATCAATTTTCTTATTTGGACAAAATTTTAAAGCGGAATCATTTTTAAATGAGTTTGACAACTTGTGAATGATTTTGATTTTTGCAATCAAGAAAAATAACTTTAGAACCATTACTGCAAATATGGTGTAGTGATACCACATAATCTTTTATAAATTTGATTTTCTATCGAATGCTTGTAAAACTCGTCACAATTTTTCTATTCGCAATTAGTTGTGGGTGAACAAAATACGTATTTGCCATGAACAGAATTATTTTATTATATTCACATTCACCTATGATACGAATTTGCGATCATATGAAATGTCGCTCTTCTTAGCAACCAACATTCATCCGCCATAGAAATATTTTTTTACGGAAGAGTATTTTAGATCGCAAGTCCTCGATGCTGATCTGACACGGGGTTGACAGCTGGCGACTCAGTGTCAGCATTAAGTTGACAGCATCCGATCTGATGCCGGCAGAAATGTTAGAAAAATGACCCTGGAAATACCGGTGGTGTTTCTAAATTATTGTAAATTATTATCATAATATTATTAAAGTTTTGTGAAATTATTTATTCTATTAATGCTGATTTAGGAACAGGTAATGAAATTTTGCTCTGTATTATTTTTCAAAGATTTTAACTGAGTGCATGCACAGTGTTTGATGCTCGTCGTATGAATAATTCGACAAACATAATTGTGAATAATTTGATACATGTAATAATTAACGTATTATAACCCAACACAATTCAAACTATATTATCTAGTCTATTAATATATATTGTGTAGTAATGACTGAAAATATAGATATCCAACGAATGCTAAGTTGTTCATAAATATGCATTTAATCAGGAGGAGCTCGGCAATCGGGTGGCAGCGGAAACAGTTCCGGAAGAGGAAGAGGAAGAAGACACGGAAACTGGCGGGCCAAGCAAGGCAGATACGACAGCTGCACTGTCCGCCATGACACTCAATTCTTCTAACAATAAATCGACCAGACATAATGATGACACGACAAGCGATCGAGATACGAATGTAAACGAAGTTTTAGAAGCAGGTGGCATAGAGGAGGCCAATAACGATGTAATATCCATTGAAAAAACTGGAGATGGAAGTGGTTTGTCCACTCAAAGTGAGTCAGACGAAACCAAGATGGCGTCGTCGAAACTCAAAATGACACGCGTGCCTAAGAGTCCGAAATCTCCAAGATCACCAGTCAATCCAAGATACTTGAAGATGTTTCAGCTTACATCTGGAGCGTTATCAGAGGTACGATTCAAACGATAATTTTGTTAAATTTTGATTGAAATTCTGATTGGGTTTCTTATAGAGACGTGTGCTTTTATCATTAGAAGCGAAAAGAAAATTATGTATTTATGTGTTTTTCTGTCTCAGGACCCATTAGGACGGTCAGGAACAGGGGCCTGCACGTGTCCGAACAGCTGTGTTCAGGACTTTGGCCTCCAAGAAGTTCCCACCCGCCCTGGCCTTGCATTTGGGGAAAACTTGCGCGCTCGGATCGACGGCTATCGCAGGCAAGACTCCGGAGTTGTAGGAGTGCCCAGAGAAAAACGAAGCCATTCCTTGGCGGCGCCAGGATCCCTTGAACTCCCGGGATGCCGTAGAGGTTTCAGACCGGAAGCCCTTCTGGTCCGGAGCGCTACTGGAACGGGATGTTCTCTTGTCAAGGCCCAATTTAAAAACCGGCATCAGCTATCGGTGCAAGCCAGTCTGGAATTCAGTGACGATGCCATAGGATTCCCAGGGACTCCTCCACCACAAGCCACGCCACCAGTTCACAAAGATATCCCCATCATGACTTCGAAGGTTCCTAAGAACAGGAGTAAGGATTTCGGCATGTTACCCAACCAACTCACCATTGACCCATCGATGTTGGGCCGCACTTCCAGTTGGGAGGATTACTCGGCCGATGAAGGAAGCAAGTCTGATAATGAGATTGAAAAATCATCGAATGAATCACCTAAACGTGAGGTTTCTAATTAGTATTGAGGATATTTATTGAGTTCATGTCAACCAGAATCGGAGAATTAGTAGTTTTTATTAAATATGACTTTTATATAACTATTGCATGATAATCAAGTCGGAATTTGTACAATAATAATTATAGTTTCTAACACTTCGCACAAATTCGTCAAAATATTTTCTTATTTTCTAACAACTATTTGATTTGTATAGGTACTTTTTAATCACTAAACCCGATCTTACGTTTACTTGCTCTACAGCAATTACATTATTGAGGTGTTTTTCAACAGTAGCATGAATGAAGTAGTGGTGCTCATGTAAACGTCATCTTGGAAGACCTGGAAAACTGCAGAATAATTTATTAGTGAATTATATGAAGAAGAAACCAGATAATCATTGCGCGTCGAAGAGATATTACCTGGATCCAACAAGGAGCATAATATGACACAGTCTTGTTCATGATCAAATTCCACGCAGGAATTTGACTCGAATTTCGAATGAGTACATAATACAGGAGCGGCATCAATTTAACGTCCACCTCATCCACAAGTCAACTTAATTAGCACCCACTAACACAGAGCTTTAGTAGCCGCTGGGGGTGCAAATATGTAGACCATCTGCTGCTGCTGCTGATTATTTCGATTACCAGCCGATCGAGCTTGTAATTGAAATTGAGTCCAAGGGTTTAAAAAATTTGATGACGGCTGATATTTATATCTCTCCGTGAAATAAGTATATTTCGTTGAATATGCTCAATGTCGTGCTCATGGATGTGATCTTTATGTGAAGTGTTGACATGTTAAATGTGTTTCGAAACTCTATTATAAAACTGGTTAATTTTTTTTAGTATAACTACACCCGTTGTGATCGTGAATACAAATCGATCATCAATTATCATGATCTTATACATACAAACTGTGACAGTCAATGAAAAACTAAATTTACGTAATTTTACATGTCATACATTTAATGGGCGTAAGTGTTAACTTGGGCACAATATGACTAATTATGTACATTTCATCCAAGGTTGCTCACGCCGGTTATTTGTTACATTAATTTTCTCAATTTACTATTGCGTGCTCTGACCCTGTTTCTGCCGTGTACTGTTTTTATTTGAACATGTTCCCTGTGAACTTTTTTGAACAATAACATGATTATTATTGCTGTCATCGTTATTTTGGACTTGCCATTTTATTTTTAAATTTTGAACTAGTGACTCATTAACATCGTGATATTAATCAATTTGTCAATGTTTGAAATTTATGAATGGATTTTAATATTTATAAACGTCAGACCTTCGGTTTGATGTCACCCCGAATACATCATCATTCATCTGCAGTATGCACGACCTTATCAATGAATGAACCTGATCATTATATTAATTCATCGCTTACCTTACAATTTAGATACAACTCTCATTTTGAACGCTCTCATCGTATTATTGCATCATATTTTCATCTAAGCAATAGGGATGGAAAAATAACTTCAATATCGAATTAGGATATCTCTATACATCTGACTGTTCGAGTAAGTTTCACGTATTATTGTTTTTATTAATGGTAGCTAACATGTTACGGCAAGAGGTAGAAATTAACGATGTTGGTTTGTGTAAACTATCGACATCGTTCTGCGATAACGATCATCACGGGCAAGAATGATTGGTGATCAATGATCAAATAATAATGAATGATTTTTCTGTAATAAATTAATGTCTTCTTTGTAACAATGTTCTGAGTGGATAAATTTAATTGTTAGAACAGCAGTAGTGGACCTATTTATGCAAATGAATGAACAGAGCCGTAGCTATAGTGGGCCTCTTTATCAACTTTTTGAGCAGAACAGCTCATTATTGGAGCAGAATGGGTCCATTGAGCAGTACATTATAGGGGCTCATAATTAGAACTTGCTTGACAGGCAAGCAACAGATAAATCTTGCTGTATCAACAGATCTGCATCAAGTTGATGAATTCAACTGCTTCAAATGAACGGTTGTGCGCAGATCAATTCATGTGAATTTAATTAAGTGTGTGGTCGATGTTGCTTGCTTTCGTTTTGTCAGTGATAGATAATTCTGCATCGAACATATTTTATCCTAGTCGTCTTGATCATTCGTAGTATTAAGGAATGTGCCACTCTTTTCAAGAAAAAAAACCAGGAAAGTTTATAGGAATGAAAATATCAAAGTCAAAATAAAAAAATTATTACAATGAAAAGTACAATGAACAAAATAATAGAATCAGCGTCTAGAAGCCCGACATTAGACTTGGTGGAGCCAGAATAATGACTACAGTATATGATACCTATTGATGCCAAAGAAGTTGAATAACGAATGACTGATAGATTAGTGATCCCTCAATTTATTCTGAGTAAAATGTGTCTTATACAACTATTTAAGTATCACTTGACGCTGTGATACTGACATTTACATATATCTTTGCAAAAAATTATTCACTGTTAGTCTAGTATTTTGCGGGATCTTTATAAGATTAAGAACCACGTTAAACAAACATCATTAACTATTTATCAGTATACAATCACGAATATTTTTATAAAACGATAATATGAAAATGATATATGAAAATGATAATAATCCAAAGCCGATATTTTCCTAACGCTTCGCCCTGATAAGATCATTGATCTATTTTCACTGATTAATATTTTCATAGAATTCAAATAGGATCTATTTATCATTATGCATTTGTAGGCTGATTATGGAGCATGATGATACCATCCACTTGATATCAACAACAATCTATATATATATTCATTCTTTTTCAATATTTATCTACTTAAAGTAGTATTGTTATTTTAAAACAATGTTTATAAATTAGAATTTTTCTCGCATTTGCCAGTTGTAAGAACTTTGGTGGACTCGGGAATTTATTTTTAAAGCTTAAAAATAAAAAAAAAGTGTTGGCAATGCAGAGAATAAATTTGATTGTGGATGGAAAAATCGCAGTGAGAATTAATGAACTAATTAATTCGGTCAGGAATTGAATAATTATATAGATTATTAGTGTTAAAGTTATCCGCATAGTTCGTAATTTTATTTAGAAAGATTCAGGTTGAATCGCGAATGCTTATGAATACAGTAAATTTAAAGGGCTCTAATTATTGGTTTTATCGCTACGGGCAAATTTGGTACTAAGAAAAAGCCTGACATTAAGTTATTTGAGAATTGAAGTGTAAACTTCATTTAAAACTAAAATTGCATGTAGTTAAGGGCACAAACATATCATCACCAAAGCACAAAATTCATTTAAACACTCATCTTTGAAATTTAGTGGAAAAATTCAAATCTTGGATGATCCAACGCTAAAAAAATCGTCCCTCATAAATCCAATTTCCAGAGGACTAAAAGCCTCTGCGTTTGTGAAGATTTGAAGTTAGGGGTACCAAAATTTAGGGCATGAAAATTTCGATGATGAAAATTTTGAAGAAAAAAAATATTTTGTTATGAATATCTTGGAATTTTTTTTTTTTGCCATTCATGGAGAGGCTTCCCTTCCGAAGTTCCTTCTAAGCGATTATACCACTGATTATTGTCAAGATATTTATTATATTGTCCCTTTTTGGTTCATCTGTATTTACAATCGAATACAGTTTTTAATATATCCCTGCGGCATCTATTAGTTAATTATTTGAGATTTAATTCCGATTAAGGGGGAACTTATTATAGTATCACATTCAAGCCAGGCACAACTTTTATTATGATTTAATTTTAAGTACTAAGATCCATGCGTTGTTCAAAATCAAATCGTTCATTCTGACCTACAGTTTGCATATATACATATTTATATATACACATATATACATATGTGTACAAACTGCTTCACCGTTGATTGAGAACCTCTCAGTAAAATGTCGAATTTATGCCAACGTTGAACATAAGAATTAATTTTATTCCAAAACACCTAATTGTATTTTCTTTTTATATCTTTTCTAGAGGAAAACATTTCACACGGCAGGTGGCGAGTCCCGAGATTTCAATGGTCAGATTTAAGTCTGTAATAAAGCGTTAGGAAATAAATTACAGAGCATGGAGATTCTAACGATTTTAGCAACAAGTTTGTAGCCATGAGGATGTTCAATGTAGATGAGATTTGCCTTTATGAACATCATGGGAAAGAATGATATTTGAAAGCTAACAAATTTTTACAATACGTTTGGTCCGTAGGACGATCAACGAGCATATTTTCTCTGTAGTGCGTTACATTTTCACTTACAACTGACTGGTTCAGTGTTTTCTCTACCGCGCAATACGTCCAACCCCGTCAGGAAGAACATGCAACTCAAAGTCCAGCTCATTTTGACGTAAAATTTAAGCATATTACATCGAGTCTGTTAATGCGGCTCCTCTGTTGTGGAACAGAGTGCTCTGCAAACTAGTGCATTCCTTCCATTGTTCGCACAAGTCCCTTGAAGTTCACGTGCGAGTTCCTCGAAGTTTGATTTTTAGTGCGCGTTTTTGTTAATAATAATAATAATAATGGCGGTTTCAGCGTTTATTAGGCCGTAGGCCTGTCGCCGATTCTTAACATCGCTGAACATTCACAGCATTTTGCGGTCTCGAACTCGCAACTCACTGCTACAATTCTGCTGTGCTTAACCGCCCGGCCTCCTTGCCGATTCTGACCAGAAACTGGCGCACAGAGCTGGGATCGAACCCGCCCCTCTCTGCGCCAATCTTGGTACTCTGAACTTTAACCACTAGGCCACCCCACCTTTTGTTGTAAAATTTTGTATTGTAGCTTCAATAAGTAGCCGCTGCATAGATCGATTTACATTCATTGTAAAATTTGTATGGGAACTTTATATAGTGAGCGGTTCGGATGAAGAAATAACGAATTGATCAGTTCGCAATGCGGACAATTATTTCTTGATCCAGCAATTCAGTGAGCGAAGAGACACGAGAATTGATGTCAAGAAGGTATTTTGCTGCACATCAAATGGTATAGAGTTGTTTACATTACAAGACGAAAGTGATGTTCTTAAATTGCTATGTCTAAAATGTACTCACCTTTATAGATGCAATTAATTGCATTACAGTGCTAAACTACATTTAGTGCTAAATTTAGGATTTTTTGTAATACATACCAAGTATTTTCTGCGCATTTTGAGATCATTTCAACGTAACTACGTCGTTTTGTTCAGCTCTTAACCCAAGTTCAGCACAATAATGTAACTGAATTTAACTAAAAAAACCTGTTAAATTAAAAAAAAAAATAATTTTCCTGCCAAACAGTGAATAAAATATTTAAATTCAACCAAATCACTGGCAAGATTCTTCTCAATTGTGGATTTTCGAATTCAATTAATGTTTGATCTATTGAGTGACATTTTCTGACCGGATGTAGGGAATGAATGACGAACATCAAGATTTTGACATATTTTACTATTTAAAAATTTTGCGCCATTGAGATAGTTTACTCTCAATCCATACGATATTTAGCAATCAATTAGTATTACTTATAATAAGGAAGATTAATAAATCCTCGCTATTTAATTATTTAAATCCAATTGAAACACTACAGATTCTGCCATGTAGCAACAGCGATTTTGATCAGTGCAGCCAAGCCACAAATTCAATCAAATTTTTAGATTATTTTTAATTTTTTTGCTCTGCAAATGCCTGAATTAGCCATAACAAATGAGTCTACTCGGTCACTATGGCAAAATTCTTCTTTATTATGCATTTAAATTTCGTTCATGGATATTTCTGTATGGAATTAATGAGCGTTTCGGGAGAATTTCATGAAATTAAGTAGGTTAGTTTATATTTGATTACAACAGGTAAATTTTATAAAGCTTTGTGATTGTCAGTAGCATAGAATAAATTATTTATTATATTTGCCGTTGGTCGGTTGCATTTATCAAGATTATTCAATGGTTGTGAAATAAATGTGATCAATGTTTGCTGATATCGATGTGAAGTCTATTATTTGTGGATAAAAGTGGATTACTTGTGCTTCCATGTTTTTAATTGACCTCGCTTTGAATTCAGTAAGCTTATACACAAATACGGAGTTAACAAATCACAGATCAGTATACGGATTTTGAAATTAATTATTATAATACTTC